ATATATATATACAAATACATACATACATATAAATTATACAATCAAGGAGATAAAGTGAAAGCAGCAAGGTAAAATCTCCAAACCCAAAATTCTTTTATTGAAGGCGCAATCTTTTATTTATTTATTATTTTTTTGTTGATTTTGGTTTTAAAGAAAAACTCTCATAGTCCATATTGAAACACCTTCAGCCTTTTTCACAATTTATTGTTAGAAATTTATTTGATTCAGCTAATTTTTACCTATAGAGAGAAGAGAGAGTATGATGAGTATGATTAATAGTAAAATTGACGTTGGAAATGGAGAAGATGTGATGGGAGTTGTTGATGATGGCAGAGAGGTGATGCATAGAAGGGGAGGAGTAGAGGAGAGAGTATTATGTGAGATGAGAGTTGACGGTAGGTTAATGGAGCAGGAGGATTTGTTTTTGATAAAGTTTTTTTTCCATTTTTACATAATAGACACGTGGCGAAATCAGAGTTATATGAGTTATGGAACTGGTGATTGGCACAGAAAAAGGGGACGGGTGATCCAAGCCCTTTTTAATCATGGAAAAGCTGCACAAGGCTTTCGAACCTGGCTTGAAGTTGAATACTATTCGCAAGCGTGGGCGGAACAACGGTATCAATAGTTGTGTCACTCAATCTTGAATTTCTTTTCAAGTAAATGTAAAAATTTATCCAAAATGTTTGGGATTTTACAAGTTAAAACTAATGAAAAAATAAATTCTCAAATTTGAATTTGATTAAAGATTTGATAAATTCTCAATTTAATGGAAAAAAAATATTTCTCGCCTTAATTTGATAAGCAATTAATAAAATGATTTATTTATTTAATTTTTTTTAATAACCATTTGATGAAATAATTAAATATAATTTTGAGTATTTTATCATCAAAAAAATTAAAGATTGGAGATATTCTTAAAGAAACAATAGAGAATTGTTATTCTTATTTTACAAATGACAGCTACAACCGTGAAAAATCTTTCATTGCAATCAAGGTTTTGAAAAGCGGCCGCAACCGTTACCTAACGCCGTTACGTAACGGTTGTGGTGGTTACCGCTACCCGTTATGACTGCTTTTACAGTGTGATTGAGATTCACAGGTGTGTCGGCCGTAGCAGCTGCCGTAGCGGTCGTAATGGTGTCGTAACAGCTGTAACGGCCTGTTACACACTACTACGTAACATTTCCGAACTGCTTCTTTCGAAAAAACACACACAAAAAAAAGCTGAAAATGGGAGAAGAGGGATAGAGAGAAGGGGGAAGATAAAGAGAGAAAATGGAGGAGCAAGAGATAGAGATAGAGATAGAGATAGAGAGAGAGAAGAGGGAAGATGAAAAACATGTAATTAATTTGTTGAAACTGTAAGACCTATGTTATTCTATTCAGCTTCTATCACTCAATCATTTTGTTTGTGCGTGTCTATCTATATATCGTTTAATAATAATAATAATAATAATAATAATAATAACAATAATAATACTAATAATAAGTGTGGTCATTATCTATTTGACTTGGTTAAAATATTTATATATATATATATATTTAGGCCCTTATTTATTCTCTTATTTTTATTCTCTTACTTTTGTCATTGTTTATCTTATATATAATAGTTAGTGATTGATTTTTTGTATAATATAAAGTCATTAATTAATAAAACAAAATGAAAAAAACTCAGTTTATAATGATTTAAAAATATGAAATATATTGGATCATTCTTAAAAATTTACAAAAATTGATCAATATTTATTTTAAACCCAATGAATATGATCACAGAAAAAAATATGTTATCCGTAAATTTTTTTCAAATTGTGCGAAAAATAAAAAAATTCATGGTTCTGGTTACCGCAATCGTTACGCTATGGCCTTTACACCCCGCAACCGCAACCGCGCCACCGCCATCGTTACGGCGACCGCAACTGCTTTTCAGAACCTTGATTGCAATGCAATTTATGAAGAACTAAATGAGTAATTTCTCCCCCTTAAATTTAGAGTGATGATTGATTGGTCAAGCCTATAGCGGCTCGAGTTAAGACCCATCCTTTCATACTCTCGGTAATGTGGTTGCTTTGGAATGTATTGTCTCTTCCGTAAGTTTAATTGTCACAGGGAACCTTGGGTTGTACTTAACACATTGGCAACATTTTTTTCCACTGTTTGCAAGGTCACACCCACGACCATTCGTACCACACCCGCGAGGGTGCTAGGTCGCTCCCGTGAGAGGACGGGACAAGAGCCATGACCAATTATGACCTTTAGGTTTGTTGGCCTAGCAGAATTGCGTGGCCCGCGGTGGCTCACAAAGGAGGCCACGATGGGCAAGTCATGCCCATGACCAATACATACATACCTTCAGGTCCTTAATATGGAGAAGTTATGTGGCCCACGAGGGGCTGCGAGGGTAGGTAATGATTTGGAATCGCACCCGCGATGTTGTTGTTTGCACCTGCGATTGTGTCTCTCGCGCCTGCAAAGCGTCTAGCTATATATATCACCAAAAGGTTGAAAATATTTATTTCTTTGAGCTCATCTTCTCATTTTCTCTCTCAAATAGCCATTTTCAACTTTTGAACTCTCTAAACACTTATGTTTGGTAACGTTTACGTTTTCAGTTTACTTGGTTAAAATATATATATATATATATATATTTAAGCTCTTATTTATTCTCTTACTTTTGTCATTGTTTATCTTATATATAATAGTTAGTGATTGATTTTTTGTATAATATAAAGTCATTAATTATTAAAACAAAATGAAAAAAACTCTATAATGATTTAAAAATATGAAATATATTGGATCATACTTAAAAATTTACAAAAATTGATCAATATTTATTTTAAACCCAATAAATATGATCATAGAAAAAAATATGTTATTCGTAAATTTTTTTCAAATTGTGCGAAAAATAAAAAAATTCATGGTTCCGGTTACCACAACCATTACGCTATGGCCTTTACACCCCGCAACCACAACCGCCACCGTTAAGGCGACCGCAACCGCAACCGCTTTTCAGAACCTTGATTGCAATGCAATTTATGAAGAACTGAATGAGTAATTTCTCCCCCTTAAATTTGGAGTGATGATTGATTGGTCAAGCCTATAGCGGCTTGAGTTAAGACCCATCCTTTCATACTTCGGTAATGTGGTTGCTTTGGAATGTATTGTCTCTTCCTTAAGTTTAACTGTCACAGGGAACCTTGGGCTGTACTTAACACATTGGCAGCATTTTTTTTCCACTGTTTGCAAGGTCACACCCACGGCCATTCATATCACACCCGCGAGGGTGATAGGTCGCTCCCGCGAGAGGACGCGACTAGAGCCACGACCAATTATGACCTTTAGGTTTGTTGGCCTAGCAGAATTGCGTGGCTCGTGGTGGCTCACAAAGGAGGCCACGATGGGCAAGTCATGTCCATGACCAATACATACATACCTTCAAGTCCTTAATATGGAGAAGTTGTGTGGCCCACGAGGGGCTGCGAGGGTAGGTCATGATTTGGAATCGCACCCGCGGTGTTGTTGTCTGCACCTGCGATTGTGTCTCTCGCGCCTGCAAAGCGTCTAGCTATATATATCACCAAAAGGTTGAAAATATTTATTTCTTTGAGCTCATCTTCTCCTTTTCTCTCTCAAATAGCCATTTTCAACTTTTGAACTCTCTAAACACTTGGTTTTCATTTAGTTACACCTATTTCCTACCCCTAGTGCTTAGGGCTTTAAGGTAGAGCAAGTTGAGGGTTACATTTTAATATGAAAAGATCAAGTTTCCGTCACACATGATTTTTCAATTATGGTTCTTCTTTTCTATTGCCTTGAGGTAAGGAGTTCTTTAATGATTTGCGTTTTATTTAACTTGGTTATGTGTTATTTGATTAAACTACACCTTGAGGGATTTGGGTTTAATCATAGTATGTTTTGATGCATAAAGGAAGGGTTTCCTTAAGGTTTCTTAAAACCCAAATTGAAAATTTTGAAACAGTGATTAGTATTGACAATTCGAGGAGTTGGTTTTGGAAAAAAAAAAAAATTTTGAGAGCATTTTATCAGAACCCTTGATTAGAAGGGATTTATTGTGGAATCACAACTTTGAATCATATGAAAATAAATGAGATAATATTTTAATGAAAATATTGTTGGAAATGATGAGCTACGCTCTTGATTTATATATTGTCCATTTTTGAATATATTGAATAGAGAATTATTTTGGCTATCGATGGAGGATAACACTGTTTGTTGAAGAAATTGCATGGCAACTAAGTTAATTGAAACCAATTTACTCATTCATTGCATTTACTCAAATGTTTCATAATTATGCATTGAAAAGCGTCATTTTGTGAAAAAGGAGTGAATATTGTGTTAAATCTAGTTAGGGAGTGTGGTTGTGGTTAATTAAGATGGTCCTTGTATCTGTGGTGAAAGTCAAGAAATCCATGTGGTTAGGATGCCTTCCTTCCAGTTAGTTGTAGGTGAAGTGACTTTGATAGTGTTTTTATAGTCTACTTGCAGACACGAACTTAGAGTGTCTCAATGTGTATATTTATTGCCTTGTTTTCTTTCTTGAAACAGGATATAAAATTGTGATTTGAACTCTGGCATAATATTGTTTCAAAAAAGGAAAAACGTATGTTTTGGTAATAGCAATGCATATGCATTCACCATATACACTACTAAAAATTGGAGCTTTTGCAACGGTCTTAAACGTCACAAAAGGTTCACATATCGTCGCAAAAGGCTTTTACAACGGAGTAGCAGCGGGAAATGGAGGGTGGCAGAAGGGGGCGTGACAAAAAGTATTTGCGACAATTACAATCAATCGCTTTCTTGTAGCGATAGCTAATCAATGGTTTTTGCAACGGTTTAATCTAACACAAAAAAATAGAAAAAGCTCCACTTTTAGTGACAATGTTAGTTGCCGTCACCAAAACTTTTTTAGCAACGGTATTTGACGTTGCGAAAAATATTATTAGCGACAGTCTAAAACACTGCAAAAAAAGTAAAATTAAATTAATATCATATCGACAACAGCTTAAACGGTTGCTAAAAATTTGAACCAATATGCATATGCGACAGGTTAATTCGTCGCTAATAAAATGTAAAGAAATGATAATTACATTAGCGACGGTTTATTATTGTCGCAATAAAATTATTTTTATAAAATCAATACACATTTTATTAATTCATTCTCCGTACAATTTATTAATATTTTCTAAAATAAAATACATCCACATCCACATTCACATTCACAAAATCATATCAAGAATAATATATATGTACCATGTAACAGTTGTCAACCGAATATTCTTTACAAAAAAATATAAAACATCCTCCAACAATACTAATAATTTTTGATATTCAATAACTCGAATTTTTGTATCTAAAACAAAACAAAAGTATCGATAATACAAATAAAAAAAAAACATATGTATTATATCTTGTTTTGATATCAATAGAAGCTCCAATATCGATATGCGAAGATATCATCACGTACTCAATAGGGTTGCATCTGCAAAAAGAAACCCCCCCAAAAAAAAACATTTACAATATAATTAATTTTAAGCTTACAGAAAATGTAAAACATATTATATTTATTTCAACAAATAAATAAATAAATAAGATTATAAACTCGAATATCGATATGCAAAGATATCATCACGTACTCAAAAGGGTTGCATCTACAAAAAGAAACAAAAAAAAACTAATCATTTACAGTTAGAAAAGGGTTAACTGTGCTAATGTCTGATTCTAATGTAATTGGTTCTTGGAGAGCCTATTGGAGATCAGGGTTTGCATTACACAGGATGGGTGACAAGTAGCAGCCTAGCAGGGTTGAAGATGACTCACTGTTTGATGCAGGTGCTATTTTGTTGAGGGTTTATTCTGACAAGACTTTGTGGAACAAAAAAATAGCATATTTTCAATGTTTCTATCTGACATTGATACCAACTTATCTTTTTTTCCCCTCTTGCAATGATAACTTGGCTATTGAAATGGAGATTTGAAGTATGAATGGTGAATAATTAAACATATCATCAGAGTTTTATGGACCTGATTAGCAAGCATTTCTAATACATTATTAAAAAGAGAAAAGAATGATTGAATCAATTTTACGGAAATCAAAGAAATAGTGAAGAGAAATCGGAATGGAATGGGTACCTCGAAATGCTCGGATTTTCAGAAAGACAATCGGAGCGATTGACTAGTTGTCCAGAGTGTGGCAATGATCAAAGAAAACTCCGACTCACCATTTGCTCTCATAAAAAACATATAGGAAAACAAATAAGCATAAAAAATCAAAAAGAAAAAAAGAGATTGTGTTAGATTGTTTGGTAATATAAATAAGAATAGTTTAAATAAGTTGATTATCTAAAATTTGAGAGAGGTGCTCATAAGACCAGCCAGAGTTATTTTCATTTGTAATAACACAAAATATATATGTATTTACTTAAAAATGTTCTCACCTAGTTCCCAGACCATAGATTCTTTCAGGTGGTATAGTTACTCCTCCAAGCTCTCGTAGCAATGCAACAACAAAGCAGGGGGAAAAAACTTGTGTATGCTCTGGCTCAAGAAGGGGGGAAAAAAGCATAAGATATCGAAAACAATTCACTTGAAAAGAAAACAGAAAATAAGATGAACTAGTACTCAACACATAAATCAAGTATTTAAATTTGAAACTATAGTCTTAGGCTGCACAAATTGACTGACAACAGCTACTTATGAATAGCATTATTTATAATCTTCAACCAAACAACTATCTCCTAATACATTTAATAAAATACATATACACAAGCAAGTCCGTGATGAATTATAGACACATAAGCTCTAATTGGATTACTCACCCATCAGATTAATAACCCAAACAGCCATCAGTAAAATACCTATGTACTTCAGTTAAGTTACTTCAAAGTAAACTCAACCAAAATATAATCCAATAACAAACACTAGAAAACCTGTATGCTATAGACTATTATTGATAAGTAAATGCCATCGTACCTATCAAATAACCAACAAACATGTAATTCAAGTTAAGCGTGCTCAGATAGTTTAAACAATGAGAGAGAGAGAGAGAGAGAGAGAGAGAGAAACCAACCTTTTCTAGGTCATCACTACCTTCACCCCAATGTGAGAAACAGTTATCTAGTACATCCAGGCGATGTGAAAATTGAACAAAATCCTGCCTTAAGCAACATAGTTCTTGTTGTAGTATGTTATTACGACATATTTCAAACTTAGCAACTTCTTTTACATGTTTTACTTGCTTCTTTTTAAACTTCAGTTCTTTTCTCTGCATCTTCATTATAGCAGTACCAATCATGATTCCAAGAACACAGAAAATAACATCAGCAAACTAATGAGAATCACTGAATAATATGGAAAAAGAAAATAGAGTAACACTCTGAATAATCAAAACTTATTGAACTTCTAAATGTGAAGTAATCTTGCTACATCAATCACCAAATGGAATATGCAGTGTCAACAGATACTTCTAAGAAGATGGCTCCTCAGATTATAAAGATCATTCCAAAACCAATGGTTGTCTTGCACAAAGTGCCACTACAAATGTAAATAACTTAAGTCACATGATTTAACTACTTAAAATTCTCACTTAATTTATAGAGATGTCTTAATAATTGTAACACTCAAGAAAGTTCAATCAGTAGGAAAAACTACTCGTTGTACAGTCAGGTGCGTTATGAACTATAAAAAAAAAAATGAAAAAACTTTTTTCATCCATTCCCCATTAACACTTTATTAACTAAAATTCCAAATCACCACATTATTCCTACTTTTGAACGGTACATTCCAAGTGTTGAGGGTCAATGCTGTGAACAGCAAAACAATAACTGGTTATTCATTGCTTATAAGTTATTGAGTAGAGTTTCTCACATCTGTGGCGTAGGTGGAAAAGAAAGATTGGGAAACAGGTCAACATCAAAATCTTGCGTCTCCGATAACCAATTCCGCTTTACGAAAAGAGCATGTGAATGGAATAGAAATAAAATTAATTTAAAGGACTGTGTCCAGAAATATAATAAATTATGTACAATCCATTCCAATATAGAAGCACAAATAAGAACAAATAGAGTAGCCTTTGCATGCAAATCTGGAAAAACAAACATAGGCACATATTAAGTGCCAAAATAGTAAATATACCAACTGCTAATGACAAGGAAAAGACATAAACACCAGCCCAAAAAAAAAAAGAAAAGAAAGATCCTTGAATAATTTATTAAAAAGAGAGGGATGAACATTTGGAAAAACCCTAGTTATTTATTTTTTTGGTTCAATTGAAATCCTTCAATCAAAACCCTAGTTTCAATAACAAGAGACAGGTGAGAGACAAGAGACCGGTGAGAGAGCTCTCAATATCATGTAAAATCCCCCAAATCAAAACCCTAATTTTTAACCCAATAGTAGATTTGAAATAAATCAAGTAAAAAGCCTCAAATCAAAGCATAGAAAATCCTAATTTTTGAATTAAAAACCCTAATATTTTAAGTTTGGAGGATGAACCTGTTGAATCTGTTGAATGAATACCAGCTTCTTGAATCTGAACTCAACCACTCCTCGGCGGCAGCGGCGGACGAGCAGGGGACAGGACAGCGACTCCTTAGCTCTTCGTCTTCTCTCTCTCTCTCTCTCTCTCTCTTTTCTGAAATACGTAACCAAGAGAATAGAGGCTTTTGTTTTATTATTATTATTTTGAATTACCTCACCAAAACGACGTCGTTTTGGAAAGGTATTGATCTTCTTCAAGTGATCTCAACCCTCCGTTTTACATCCTTATTTTTTTTTTGCAAAAATAAAATTTTTTGCGATGGACTAACAAAGAGCGTTCCAAAAAAAAAAAAAAGACGGGTAACATGCCATCACGTATAATATTACTTTTTGCCAGTCTTCGATTTTCCATCTCTAGTAGTGGTATTTAGTCGGTGCCTTTTTTTGCGACAATCAAATGTCGTCGCGAAAAAGATAATTTTGCGATAGTTTTTTTTGCCGTCGCAAAAGGTTACTTTTTGCGACGATTTTGAAACCGTCGCAAAAAATTCCGTGTCAAAAGCCTCATTTTCTAGCAGTGATAGTTTCATTAAACACTATATATATCATTAAACTTGTCTCTACTAGGCTTTTAGCTCACCCTATGTGAAAAAACATTTTAGGTGTTGATAGTATGCCTCCGCTAAGGGGATAGAAAAGGGATACCTTGAGAGGATGTTGGAGCTGATGGAGCTTAACACCCACTTTTGTTGTAACCAAGTATAATCTTGGAAACATGTAGCCAAAAAGGCATGAATTTGTAATAATTTAGATATTATTGCTTATCGATCACGTGCTGTAGATTCAGGTCTTAAAATCAATGAATGTATTAATGCATGTGATATGATTTTGTAACATTAACAATGTTGTTATGATTATAGAATGCTTGGAATTTACTTAAACTTCCGCGTATTGAATGCATGTAGTATATATGTGGAATGTGGAATGTATAGTCCAATTCTCTATGTTTTCGGGGCGTCACATAGCCACATTGTCACGTCCCGCCAAATTACCTAGACAAAATTGCCAACCAAGGGGAAGGCTTAAGGAAGGGAGTCTAATGGAAGATTACAAAAGCTTCTAGAAGACTTGAAAGAATATGATAATGTTGTACATAATTCTAGAACGTACATAGATAGTTCCAAAGTAGGAAAAATTCTTCTAATGTGGTAGAAGCCTCCATGACGTTTCTACACACCCTAATTAATAAGGGCCTTAGAATGTTTCTAAGAATACTAGGTTGCCCTATAAAAGGAGTGAGAGCTCATTTGCCTCACATCCATCCAAAGTGTAAGAGTTCTCTCTATAGTGAATATACAAGCATTCTTTCAACTAATTTGTGTTATGCATACTCTCTCTCTCTCTCTCTCTCTCTCTCTCTCTCTCTCTCTCTTTGTTAGAGCATCTCCAGTAGTGTAGTTAAAAAAAGTGTGTGAAAAATTAACATCACCGATTATGTCGCAAAAAGAATGACCAAACTCCTACTATTCCCTGTTGCTATAAGACGTTTCTAAAAAAATGATTATAAGTTAGTTTTAATTTTAGTTTTTCCCCTAAACAGTCCACCTCATTTTTAATAAAGACACGAAATAGCCTTTACAATGGTGTGCTATAAGTGTGTTTTTGAGATTGATGGTATCAATTATAGACTAATTCACAACGATTAGTATCACCACCAACTTTTTATGGGGAAACTAGAAAACCTAACTTCATGTTAATTTAGGCAATTTGATATGTCTTTACTAAAAATCTTGGTTTGACAGTTTAGCTATGAAAGTAGGTCATTGATTGAGCACTCCTTTCGCTCAATCTAAAATATTAGTCTCTCCTAATATTTTTTTTAGAGACTCATTTCCGCATTTAATTTATAAACTGATTTTAATCACCTACCTATGCCCTTAGACTCACCTATCAACCATGTATATCCCTTTTTCTTTCCAAAAATCATTTTAGGGTTTCAAATAATGAAAAGTTTCTGAAAAAAAAGGGGATATACATGGTTGATAGGTTAGTCTAAGGGCATAGGTAGGTGATTAAAATCAGTTTATAAATTAAATGTGGAAATAAGTCTCTACAAAGGATATTAGGAGAGACTAATATTTTAGATTGAGCGAAAGGAGTGCTCAATCAATGACCTTCTACTTTCATACCTAAACTGTCAAACCAAGATTTTTAGTAAAGACATCAATACAAACTTGCTCAAACGTGGAAATAATACAGATAATCAATTATAACAAATAGACCAAGAGAAAAGCATGCAGTTCATGTAAAGTGATACAATCACACACAATAGACGGAAAAGAACGGAGGGAGACTTACTGAAATTCTGAGCACCAAAGCCATGAAAACTTAATTAATATTATGTACATATGACCCTAGATATGAAACTGATGCCAAAACTCACAATATACAACTCTAGAGACTCGGTAAGTACTATAGCATGATGAATATGCATTATAACATGATTTTATCCATACAAATCAATTAAAGAAAGTAAATGCAACAATTGACATGTAAAAATGGTGAGTTACCCGGCCTATATACATGATGTGCATGTTATGAATCTTAAAACAACTATACAAAATGCAAAAGAGTGCAAAAGTAGCAAAAGGAAAGGGAAATTCTATTTTCACACACCTACTTACCTCTATACACATCATTTCTCAGTATACACATTTATTAATTTAATTATAGATTATTGTTCTTATTCCACACGCTTCATATTCCAATTATACACTAACTTGTATCCTTATACACACACCACATAAATCCTCCTTCCATACACCTGTACCTATTTTCAATTCAAACCCTCCTTCACACACCTGATATTCAACCTTATGCTTCAAGAAAAACAAAACCCAGAAAATAGTGTGTACAATGAGATGATTATTTATTGTTTAGTATGAACATAATGAACCATGACATATAGATTGAACAATATGTATTCATAAGAAAGCCCATTGGAGGGCTTCAAGTCCATATATGTGCCAAGACCAAGAGATGAAGCATTGGAGGATCCTAAGCAGGAAGCACTCTTAGTAGGAAAGTTAAAAGGAACACTTCGTAATGTAGTTCCTTCTTTAATAGCATCCATCCATACTGAAAATGATGTTTTTAAGGAGTTTTCTGAGATAGTTTACACAAAAGCCAGCCAGTTCTTAAAAAGAAGTCCTCGGATAAATTTTTGAATAAACTTCTGTTGACAAAGGTTCTCGGTAATATTCAAGAGTTCTTAGAAGAAATCGTCAAGTTTAACTCTCCAAAGAGCTTTACCAGTAAGTGCTAAATCGTCATTTTGATTTAGGATATAACTGTCATTAAAATCATATTTCATTAAGTGTGTAGACAGAGGTAAGTAGGTGTGTGGAAATAGAATTTTCCAAAAAGAAATGATAAACAACTCTATCATCATGAAACATACATGACTTCTATCTAACCATTATTAGATATGAAAATCATGGTGAAAGTACATGCAAACAGTGGGTAAACAGAAGTTTAGCTATGGTTTGTCGAACAAATCAAAGGATGCAGCGTAAACTAGCAAGAGATGGTTTAAGGTTCTTGGTACCGCATGCCTTTACTTTTTGGCAACTTAGGAACACCTCTAGGTTAATAGAATTAGGGTTGGATGTTTGGAGTTGGTGTGGATAGATGAAGTTAGATTAATATGGTGTTTTTGCCTCAGTTATTCATCCCCATTAAAAGAGGAGGGTGTATATATAGGCCTAGGAGACTTGGGGGAAAAGCATATAC